TTCCCCTGTTTTCGTACAACGGGCTGCCTTTTTCCAAGGGCAGCCCGTTGTAATCTGTTTCTGGGTGGAAGCCTTTCCCAAGGCTTTCAAAGCTCCACTTGAGCACCTTCCCAATGGGCTCCCATGTTCCTTGAGCGGTGCAGCTTTTGGGAAACGATGCCAGGTACAGGTTCGTTTCCAGGGAGCTCAAGCCACAACCCAAAGCCCCGAAGGAGAAAGTGAGCAGACTGTCTCTACTTTGAAATTCCACCCCATCGCCATGTAAAAACAAAGGCACTGTCTTCTCCCTCCAATCCTTTTCCAAGGTCATGGGATGGGCATTTAGCTTGCTATCCCCGCTTTTTTCCACCTGCTTCCAAAACTTTCCCAAGCTGTCGCAGTTAAAGGTTTTCTTGAAGAACTCGGGGTAGTTGGCGCCCAAGTTCGCAAAGACCAGGTGTGGCAGGAAGACCTGTGCCTCCTCATCCTTTTCCACGGATAGTTTCTCGGGGTCCTTTTCCAAGGATGCCTCGTCCTTTCCCAAGCAGGCTTTGTTGTCAAGGCATCGTATTTTTACTTTGCAGGCTTCGTCCAGGCCAACATTCCTTACAAACCTTCGCATCAGCTGCTTGTGAATGTTGCCTGGCTGCTCGCCCCAGTTGCCTGCCTGAGCAATCTCCAAAAGGTCTGGGTGCTTTGCACCGTCCACCACTGCCAAGGAAGCAAGCTCCCGAATCATGGTCGCACTGAGCTTCCCGTGAGCCCACAATGCGAGGAGCTTGGCGGCCAAGCTGGAGGTTACTTCGTCCTTTTCCAAGGCTTCTTTGGCGAACTCCGGCAATTCATCGTTATTCTTTCTTTGAGCTTTTCCAAGCTCCTGGTCCATCTTCCAGCCTCTCAAACGTTTGGTCATGGCTTTCCTCGGTTTTTCCGAGCCTATAGATACATGTAGCTGGCGGCTTCTATCCCAAACTGCACAGGCGACTGCTGCAGCAGCTGTTTCTTTGAACCTAAAGGTCTGCAGACGTGCAGTTTCAATGCATGCTTTCGAACAAAACATGCACACAGACATACCCTGGAGAAAAGAGTCCTACAAGGCTGCAAAGGTTTTTTTTCGGCGGCGGTGCTTGTCGCTTCAGAGTCCGGCCTAAGGGTGCTTCTTGCCTTAAAAGTTGTTGTTGCTTATTCTTTCGAAGCTGTGTAGCACTGCATGCATATTATGCTATAGCTATGGCCTAGACGACTGTGCTCGAAGCTGTTGCTGCACCTAGGGCTGCAGGCTAAGTCTGCAAACGGAAGGGCCTACTCGGAACTGCAGCTACTCAAGCTACTCAGAAAGCTTTCCCAAGCTTATAGAGCCTGCACAGCTTTCCGAAGCCTTCAGCGGCGAGCTTTTCCAAGCTCTGAGGCCCTTTCCAGGGCTCACTTCCTCTTGCTGCTGGCAACACTTGGAGCCTTGTTCTCCAGGTGTCGCAGCTCTTTTCGCTCGTCTCGAGCCTGCTTGATCACTTGGGCTGTGGTTTCCAACACCTTCTTCAGAGCAGCGAGCCCTTGCTTTTTCTTCAGGGTCGTCTTGAGCACCCCCTCCTGCTTCTCCAAGCTTGCCAGCCAGCACGTGCTTTTGGCGAGCCTCGACTTGGACAGGGTTCCTTTGACCTTTTCCAAGGTCTCTTCAAGCTCTGTCTTGCACTTGTGGGCTTGGCTCATGGCCTTGCGAACAGCGGCCTCTGCTTTCGCCACTTGCTCCTCGAGCGAAGGCTCCTCGCCCTCGTCGTCTGCCTTCCCGTCCTCCAGGGCAAGCTGGCCAGGCTTGCCCTTCAAGGCCGGCTTTCCCGAGCCCTTGCTGCCGCCCTTTCCAGGCCCTTTGAAGGAACTGCTGACCATGCCACTGCTGGGCATGGCCATGGCCTCGTCCCCGTACAGCTGCTGGAACTTTTCCAAGTTGTCTGGGGTCTGTTCCCCTTCGACCCCACTTTCCCAAGTGGCACCCCGGGTGCCTTCGGAAGTACGGACAATTCTTTGGTTGTCCTTGTACTCCCAGACTCCCGGGGTGCTCGGGTCCTGCCGCCAGCTCACTCTGCCACTGGCAAGGTGAGCCTGCAGCTCTTGCTCCGTCCATCTGGTAAGCATGGTTTTCTCGCTTTCCCAAGCGTCCTTCTTCTTCACCTTTTCCAAGGCGCCCACGACCTGCTTGGAGGCCATGTACTTCTTACCCTCGCTTTGGAGCAGGAACAGAGCCGCACTCAAGCCTTTCTCTTTCTTGCTTTTCCAAGCATGCTCTGCCTGCTCGCCTTCCGGTGCATTCTTCAGGTACGTTTTGTGCTTGCCCCAGGCGCTCTGCGCCTCCTTGTCCGTCAAGGACTCTTTGAGTACCGCCGCCTGGACCAGCGGGTCCTCGCTGGCGGCGGCAGCCTCTTCCACCTTCTCCTTCAAGCTTTTCCAAGCCTCGGGAACCTTCTGCAGGTTCTTCTTGTTCAGCCTGAGTTTTGCCAAACCCTTGGCCTTTGCCTTTGCCTTTGGCTTTCCCAAGCCTTTGGCCTTCGCCTTTGCTTTTGGCTTTCCCAAGCCTGCACCCTTGTTCTTCAAAACTGACTTCAACACTGTCTTTTTGGGAGGCATCCTTCAGTGCCTCGGGCTTGCTACTTTCTAAAAACTCCACTTCTCACCCTGATTTTGATTTCGCAAGCGGCTGCGGATACAAACATGCTTTCGAGAATGACAATGCCCATGCATGCTTCGCCAAGGTGCTTTGCTAGATAAAACCTACATATGCATATCAAATTTCAACATTCCGTTTCTGTGTGCATGCCAGAAAATAGAAAATGCTGCATTAGAATAGAAGCAACAGCAGAAAACTATTATGTTGGTGTCTCTGTATATATATATATATATATAGTTGTAAGAAGAAGAGAGATATAAATAGAGAAAACAAAAAGAAAACTTCATGCACTTTATAGGGGTGGGGATTTAAAGGGTCTGGGGTTTGGCGGGCTTGGGTATTTATAATTCCTTTAGGTTTGGGGTGCTAGGGGTTTTCAGGAGGGAGGGTTGTAGCATTAGGTTTGGGCGTTTTTCTTTTGAGTGGGGTGGGTTCTGCTGGTGGTGGTTATGGTGGTGGGTTTCGTGGGTTTGGTGGCTTTCGTGGGTTTCGTGGGTTTGCTGCTGCTGGTGGTGGTGCTGCTGCTGATTGTGGTGGTGGTGGTGGTGGTGGTGGTGGTGGTGGTGGTGGTGGTGGTGGTGGTGGTGGTGGTGGTGGTGGTGGTGGTGGTGGGTTTCGTGGTTTGCTGGGTTTGCTGGGTTTGCTGGGTTTGGTGGTGGTGGTGCTGGTGCTGGTGGTCGTGGTGGTGCTGCTGGGTAGTGGCTGGTGGTGGTGGTGGTGGTGGCGGTGGTGGTGGTGGGTTTCGTGGTTTGCTGGGTTTGCTGGGTTTGGTGGTGGTGGTGCTGGTGCTGGTGGTCGTGGTGGTGCTGCTGGGTAGTGGCTGGTGGTGGTGGTGGTGGTGGTGGTGGTGGTGGTGGTGGTGGTGGTGGTGGTGGTGGTGCTGGTGGTGGTGGTGTTGGTACAGCTGGTGGTGGCGGCGGTGGGTTTAGTGGTGGGGGTGGTGCTGGCTGTGGTGCGGGTGCTGGTGCTGTCGGTGGGGGGGGGGGGCGGTGGGGGCGGTAACCCTTCAGCCCCAGTGGTCTAAAGGTTAAGGTGCTGGTGTTTGCAGGTGTTTGGGTTTGGTGTGGTTTCGTAGCCGTGATTTTTATTCTTTGGAAAGGTTTTGTTTTTGTGTATTCAGAAAGTTTCTAAAATATCATAAAAAATGAAATCTGATGAAATCTGATGAAATCTGATGAAATCTGATGAAATCTAACATTTCATCAGATTTCATCAGATTTCATCAGATTTCATCAGATCTGAATTTTAAGTGATTTTTTTTTAAATCGTGGGAGGTGTGTGGTGGCTGCTATCCCAGGTGCAAACACACAACCGTTGTGCCATGTAGCAGGCTTGGAAAAGCCTGCTACAGCAAGGCTTTTCCAAGCCTCCGTTCCTTTTAAAGTCCCACACAAAATGTTTCCAACAACTAAAAAACTACAAAACATTATTGAAAACACATATAAATCCTAAACCCTAAACCCCAATATATAAAAAATCAATTCTTCATATGTTGCAATCCTCAAATATATTGGTGGTGGTTCTTCTGGTGGTGGTGGTGCTGGTGGCTCTTGTGGTGGTGCTGCTGCTGCTGCTGGTGGGTGGGTGGGTGGGTGGGTGGGTGGGTGGGTGGTGGTGGGTGGTGGTGGGTGGTGGTGGGTGGTGTCGGTTGTGGTGGTGGTGGCGGCTGGTGCTGGTGGTGGTGGTTGTGGATGGCGGTGATGGTTGTGGCTGGTGGTGGTGGTGGTGGTGGTGGTGGTGGTGGTGGTGGTGGTGGTGGTGGTGGTGGTGGTGGTGGTGGTGGTGGTGGTGGTGGTGGTGCGAGTGGTGGTGTGGCCAAGACCAAACCCAGAAACCATACAGCTGAAAAACCTAAACCCGAAACCCTAAACCATAAAGTCGAAACCCTAAACCGTAAACCCTGAAACTTAAACCCTATTATAAACCTTAAACCCTAAAACCTCAATCCTAAACCCTTAAACCTAAAAACCCCGAAGCCTCTAAACCCCCAGCCCAAGAACCCTTGCAAATCCGCGCTTTTTTTCGGGTGTCTCTCACTGGTAGAGAGCTCCTGCCGCCCTGGCACCGGTGCTTTTCCAAGCTATGCACTTCTAAGGCTTCCAGCCCTTATAGCCCTTATATGTTTTATACATACACATCTATAATGCTAACAGCTAACATATCTATAAAACACCTGGTGCCAGGGCAGCAACTTCGAAGCCCCGTCTTAGGGCTCGCGATCCTACTCTACTGGCTTTTCCAAGCCGGCTTTTCCAAGCCACTGAACCTGTCTGCTACTCGGCTGGCTTTTCCAAGCCAGCCGATGTGCCTGCTTCCATGGGCTTTTCCAAGCCTTCTCCGGACCATAGCTTTTCCAAGCTACGGCAGGAGGTCGAGGATGTCATTGACTGCCTCGGGGAAGTCCTTGACAACCTTGACCCCCTTCCTTTTCAGGAATTTGGAGTGATTCTGCTCCGGAGTCTGCACTGCATAGCACATCTCGCAGACCTTGTACTCAAGGCATTCAGAAATCACCCGCCAGGCATCGTCTATGCAATACGATGCCGAGTTGTAGTCGGCAATGGCGGCTTTTCCAAGCTCGCCGACCTTGTCGTAAGTGACCGCCAGCTTCAGGCGAAGCTCTGGGCTTCGTTTCTGCATCGACTTTTCCAAGTCTTTGAGCTGGCGGGTCACTTCCTTCTCCCTTTTATAGGTCGTCACGTACGTACACACGTACACATCCGTGTGATCGCACAGACGGTGCAGGGCCTCCACGTTTTCGGCGGGAATCGACCCCTGCTTTTCCAAGCAGTTGTGAAAGTCCAGCTGCACCAGCTTTCTCCCTGGTGTCAGCTTGACCTCACCGGTGGATCGAAAGCCTTTTTTGCCCTGCCTGCCCTGCTGCGGAGCAGGAGATGCTTTTCCAAGCTTCTCTTTGTCCTCCTCGTCGGCATCCCAGTCCACCTCCTCTTCGACCTCCTCCTCCTTCGTCTCCTCCACTTTGGGCAGCTTTGGCGGCTTGCCTTGCGGGGTCTCGGAGCTGCTGGAGCTCGATGGCGGATTAGCTTTTCCAAGCTCATCCGCCTCCTTCTTCGCCTTAGCTTTTCCAAGCTCCTCTTCGTATTTGAGCTCCTCGAGCCGCTGCTTCATTTTAAGGTCGGCTTTAGCCAACTTTTCCAAGTGTGCCTTCATGCTTTCGACCGTGTCTGGCTGGTGCTCGGCAGCTCTTTTCTCCAGGGCATCCCACTGCTTGCCCCTTCTTTTGTCTTGGCGGGTCTTCGAAGTGGTGCCAGAGCCTTTCGGCCGCTTGTGCGAGTTAAGCCCCTCGGAGTCTGAGGAGCTCTTCTGGCTTTTCCAAGCCTCGTCGTCCTTGAATCCCTGTTCAAAGCAACTGACCTTCCGTTCGTTGGTATCTAACCTTCTGACCTTTTCGTTTTGGGAGCATTAAGGGGCTTTGAAAGCAGGATTTAAAGTGAGCATTGAAGACCATGAACAGTGAACAGTGGACAGCAACAGCAGCAAATGCAGGAGCAGCAGCAGCCGGAACAGATTGCAACTTGGAATGGGGGTGGGGCAGGGAAAGCTCATCAACGATGTCATGAATATATTGTTGCCAGAGGGAATATACACGACACTGTTCTCTGTAGTAGTAGTAGTAGTAGTAGTAGTAGCAGCAGCAGCAGGAGTAGTAGTAGTGGTAGTACCAGCAGCAGCAGGAGTAGTAGCAGCAGCAGCAGGAGTAGTAGCAGTAGTAGTAGTAGTAGTAGAAGTGGTAGTAGTGGTAGGTGGTAGTTGTGGTCGTCATGGTAGTTGTAGCGGTAGTGGTAGTGGTAGTGAAAATGGTAGTGGTAGTAGTACAGTATAAAGTGGTAGTAGTAGTAGTCGTAGTACTAGTAATAGTCGCAGTAACGACACTGTCCCCTGTCCAATGTGCATGTGCTCGCGCGCGCTGTTGACTGTGCTCGCCCACGCTGCGCGCGCACTGCGCGCACACTGCGCGCACACTGCGCGCACACTGCGCGCACACTGCGCGCACGCTGTTGCCTGTGCTCGCACACACTGCGCGCGCTGTTGCCTGTGCTCACCCACGCTGCGCGCGCACTGTTGCCTGTGCTCGCCCACGCTGCGCGCGCACTGCGCGCGCACTGCGCGCACTGTTGCGCTGCACCCGCTGCGCGCGCACTGCCTGTGCTGTGCTCGCACACACTGCTGCCTGCGCGCACTGCGCGCGCACTGTTGCCTGTGCTCGCCCACGCTGCGCACGCACTGCGCGCGCACTGCGCGCGCACCGTTGCCTGCTCACCCAAGCTGCGCGCGCACTGCGCGCACACTGCGCGCGCACTGCGCGCGCACTGTTGCATGTGCTCGCACACCCTGCGCGGACTGTTGCCTGTGCTCACCCACGCTGCGCGCGCACTGCGCGCGCACTGTTGCCTGTGCTCACCCACGCTGCGCGCGCACTGCGCGCGCACTGCGCGCGCGCTGTTGCCTGTGCTCGCCCACGCTGCGCGCGCACTGCGCCCGCACTGCGCGCGCGCTGTTGCCTGTGCTCACCCACGCTGCGCGCGCACTGCGCGCGCACTGTTGCCTGTGCTCGCCCACGCTGCGCGCGCACTGCGCACACACTGCGCGCGCACTGTTGCATGTGCTCGCACCCGCTGCGCGCGCACTGCGCGCGCACTGTTGCATGTGCTCGCACACGCTATTGCCTGTGCTCGCACACGCTGCGCGCGCGCGCTTGCCTAATGCGCGCGCGCTGTTGCTTATGCCACTACCACTACCACCACTATCACTACTACTGCCACTACCGCTACCACTACCACTACCACCCACCACTACTACTACTACTACCACTACTACCACTACTACTACTGCCACACTGCTGCTGCTTCTGCCACTACTACCACTACCACTACTGCTGCTGCTGCTACTACTGCCACTACAACTGCTAGTATTACTATTACTACTAGTACTACTATTACTACCTATAATACTACCACTGCTTCTGGCAGTACTACCACCACTGCCACTTCGCTGCTACTGCTGCTGCTACTGCTGCGGCTGCTGCTGCTGACAATGGACAGTGGACAGTGTGTGTGACAGCGTCTGAGCTTGTCGAGGTAGGACAGCAGCACCTGCACAACAGCACACTCCTAGCTTAGCCTTCACCCCCTAGAATCCCTCAGTTTCACCCCTGGCAAGCCCCGAATCCCTCCGCAAGCCCCGAATCCCTCCCCCACAATTAAAAAGGTCGCGAATTAACCGACGCCTCCTCCGGTTAATTCGCCTTTCCCCACCTTTTGCCCTGCCTTGGCACGATACCCTTTTAGACCTAATAACTGTCCACTGTCCACTGTCTACTGTCCACTGTTTGTTAGCACTGCCAGCCGTGACTGGAGACTTGCAGGCCGGCTGGGCACGTTTACTAATACAGAGTTTCATGTGCAGAAAATAGGCTTTTCAGGGTTAGCTTTCTGGGGGTATGTTTCAATGTGGAGGATTCAGAGGTTTTGTGGGTTGGACGAAATCTTTCATTGTCTTAAGCTTGTGCCCTGATCAGCACTTGTTACCAGTATGCTCATGTCCATCAGCAACAACTTCACAGCTGCCAACACCCTCGACACTAACACCATAAATTGAACCGCCTGGTGTGACAGGTGAGGGGGGGGGGCGGGGCGGTCGATTAATGTACCCTAGGGGTAATCATTGAGATCATTCAGGCTTCCAGCTTACTCTGCAAGTGTGCTGTTGCTTTGAAGTTACATGTATCAGGGCTTCCTTTGTGCTTTTTAGCTGAAGGGTTACTGCATTGAGTAGGTTATTCAAATCATTTCAACCGCTATCAAAATGGCGGCTACTACTCCAAATCCAGCCACAAGTGCTGGCCGCCAACAACATCATCATTGAATGCTTGGTTGTGTGTGATCTGCTTCGAGGAATGATGATTGGATAACTTCATGTCGCGTCAAACATAACCGTGTTACTTGAGTGCTTTGTTTTGTTCCAGAGATGTCTTCATGCGAAGTAACGGTGCCCTGATTCATTGATTCGCATCCCTAGAGTAGATAGAATGCTTTCTGTGAAACCCAATATACTACCACCTGCTCGCGCGCCCATTTCACTGTTCACTGTTTGCTGTGCATTGTCCACTGTACTGTAGCCAGTTGCATTGACTGCGGGCTTGCTTGGCACATTTGCAGGGATAGCCTAACTCAGGTTGCATCGCCAGCACTCTGCATGGGCCCAACCCACCACAAACTTGCAGGGGCCCTTGCGGACCAGCCAACTGCAAGGGGCAGGTTAGGCCAACCAAATGCAGGGGCAATGCACCTCAACACAGGAATTCAGAATATGTTTGGGTGTTGTGAATGTTGTGAATCACGAGTAGTTGCCATCCCTATGAGGTGAGACTTCATGGGCCTGACTGTGCTGCCCAAGCTTTTTTGCCTGCCTTGCGCTTCTTATGTCGCCAGGCATTCCTGCTCGCGTGGGACTTCACAGTGTCCTGGGAGCTTGGCATCTCGGCTGAGGCCGTGGAGTCGGGGCCTTTTGTAACAGTAGACAGTGGACAGTGCACAGGGGACACGGTCGTAGTAGTAGTAGTCGTACTAGCACTTGGCGAAGGAGGCGCGATAGGTTCTGGGTCTTGCTTTGGTGACATGGCTTCTGGATCATCGCTCGGCATAGCAAAGCATACTGCAACTGATGCATGCTGAAGGGCCTCCGCCACGTCTTCCTCGTTTGCATGGCAGTAGTGCCGCCTGAAGGTTCCCACGTCGAGCCGCTGCTGGATTTCCATGATGACATGCTCAGAGGCGCGTTGACCGCCCTCTGGGGTTGCAAGCAACAAGGCAGATGCAGTGTGTCTAGTAGCTCCATGCACTGTCACATGTGAGCCTTTGAATTTCACATTCCAACGTCTGCGGCCGGTGAGTGCAAACATCACTTTCGCGACATGGGTCACTGCTTTCCACACTGTTTGCCTGGCCATCCACGGTTGCTTTGCTTTTTTGGTTTGAGCTGGGAATATGTACCTGCTGCCAATGGGCCAGCAGAAGGCTTTGGACGAGCGTGGCGGAAAGTCTTGAAACACGCCTGGGTGGGACTTCCTGAAGGGCTCAAGTGGGGGCAGCACACATCTCTGCACACCTTTGTCCATCACCTCCCTGAGTGTGCTGACAACATCCGGAGCAAGACGAGCAGCGATGCAGTCAGCCCCAAGTTTGCCCATTCCTTGGAAGTCTTTGTTGTCTTCCCGCTTTTGGAACAAGATGTGAGGAGCATCTTGCATGTGCCCTCCATCCAGGAAAACATCCGAACCTCGAAGTTGCAATGCCTCAGAAATTCGACGGGAGGTAACCATCGTGATCCATAATGCCATGACATACCGTGGCCCGGCAAAGTAAAGGCTCACTGCCAGGAACAGCAAAAGGTCTTCCCTGGGAACGAACAAATGCTGGAGGTCTGTCTTCGACAGCTTTTTACCTTTGTTCCATGGCTTGCGCTTGGCTTCTTGCACAGTGGACTGTGTCTTCGACCTTCTTTTCTGCAACTTGCCCTTTGCGTCTGGCACAGTGGACAGTGAACTGCAGGACAGTGAACTGGTTAGTCTTTTTCTGGGTGCCATGGGGTCTGGTGAAACACTACTACTGGATACTCTAATGTTGCCTTGAGCCAGGAGCTTCTGTTGCGTTGCACTTGGAGGGATGATGTCACACTGTTCGCTGTTCACTGTGAAAACCATTTGCCTTCAGACCCGAGCCCTACAATAACTATGCAACATCACATGAATGCTCCCCTGGCAGGTCCGAAAGCCAAGCTGCTGTCCACTGTTCACTGTTCAGCTGTCCACTGTTGACTGTTCACTGTCCTCGCCTGCAGCAGCGGCGCCGCGGCATTGGCTCCACGGCAAGGCCGGGTAAAGTGTCATCCCTAAACCCCCAAAATGCATGCATCAGCTTGCACTGTCTGCCTGCTTTGCTGCATGTTCACACAGATTCAGATGAACTTTGCAGTGCTACCTTGCCGCCGGTGTTTAAATTCGACAAGACCACTGTGCCCTGTTCCCACTGTCCCTTGTTGACTGTACATATTTTGTTGTGTGCCTGAAGCAATGGCTGACACGGGTTCGGCGGCTGGATCCACGATTTCGACTGACGGCTTTGAGGCAAGGCAAGGGCACTTCTCTGTTT